ATGAGACGTTGCAAAAGTAAATACGTCAATCCAGTCGCCTTCTGCATCAATTCAAAAAAAGCTAAAAAACGTCAATTTTGCGATTTTTCATCCCCCTTCATTGCCCCCCCATAACCGGGGGTTGGTCTATCGAGCTCTACATAATTTTTTTACGAAAAGTACATGTCTTGACCTAAAAAATGCGACCCTCAGAGTTAAAAAATATGCACCGGTGCCCGAGTTACAAATATTTGAATAATACGCAAAAATAGGTAAAAACGGCTATTTTTGGACCTTCGAGGGGCCCAAATTTGGGCCCTAAGGCCCCTAGAGGGCTAAAAATTTACCTGAAGGCTATTTTCACATACCCAAATAACATACTAAATTTTGGAGCAGATCCGAGAACCCCCCGCACAAAAGTTGTACATATATGAAAAAACTGCTCATATATATTACATATTTTATGGACTTTATTAGTTCGACTTTACAACTTTGAGAAGTGCATTGCTTTACTTTTGTACATTTTTTATTTCTCTTTTTCTCTCTCTCTCTCTCTTTTACGGCAAAATGGAACGATTGCGAAATTTTCGCCTATAGAACTTATAAAGAGGCTATAGATTTTTCCATCTCGTTGCTATAACGTCGATTATAAAAAGGTTGTGCACCCCATACGATGATGAAAGTCTTATATATTACATGGACTCGCGTGTACATAGTGTGCCATTTGAATATGTTGTATATATTCAAATGTAAAACTGGGCCAATTCGCGTTATGTATAGCGCATATAAATTTAATTTTATATACAGCACGTCTGCGAATCCAGCATTAATGGCTGCATCAATGAGGAAGATATTAATTACGTATCCGATCGACGATTTATCATGCAATCCATAATATTATTATTATAAAAAAAAATTCAATATGGCAAGTACAAATCGCTGTTTTCTAAATGTACCATTGCCGCGCTCGACGCTACAGATGCAAGTCTAAATTTTTCACCGCTGCAGTCTTGCTCTCTACCAATACGATAGATACGTACACTGCAGTTTTCAGCTCTCCGCTAATTGGGAAATGAGTGTATTAATTCTGACACGCATCGGCGCGACTTATCAGTGTATACGTACGTATAAATTGCAAAACACACATCGACGCGCGCGGACCGATTTCAAAAATCCGCCGCGCGCGCAAGGCGCAAAACCCTCGTAAATCTCGCGGCAATTATGAGCCCATATAACATTATGTATACGTAGGACTAAATCGCAAATGTATATAAGTATAATAACATCGCCGCGCGTATGTTCAAGTACGCGCGAGCTCGCGTTACTTTTTCACATTTATCATAAAACGAGCTCGGTCGAAACGAGTTGAAAATCCCGCGAGCGTGGGCGTGCGTGTGTAAATACGCGCTTTTCCAATAATATGCCCCGGCTGACAGATACTTTATACGCGAGTTTTTATTACTTATACGCGTGTACGCGCGGCGCAGAAATGCAATTAACGATCGACGATCGCAAAAGTGCCGGAGAAGTAGTAGTGGCCGTGGTACACGTGCGCGAAGCAGCAGCGCCTTACTTTTACCCGGCAACGCGTTATCGAGAGCCAAGCTGCGACGTCACGCTGCGGCGAAAAGCGCAAGAAAAAGAAAAAAAAAAAGGAAAAAATTGTCCGAGGAGAGCAGCAAAACTCGTCTTCGGTCTGAGAGAGAGAGAGAGCAGGAAGATGCAGCTGCTGCGTATATGTCGTGTTATACTACGTTCTCTGCCTGGGTGAAAGTGATGCTATTGAACTCGGGCCAGTTTATAAAAGCGTCCGGATGATTTCCTTTTTATTATCATCATAATTTTAATTTTTGTTTATCGTTCATGTACATTTTCTCGAAGTACTTTTGTTTACTTTCTTTCTTTTTTTTCATTCGCACACTCGTATTTATATAAATGTATATAAATATAAATGTACCAGCGTTAAATTAATAGTCGCGCGCACATGTGCTCTCGCAGAGACTTTCAAGGCCACCTTCATGCGCGCGTTCGCGTAAAGTTAGCGCGTGAAAATGCACATGCGGCGATATGAGCGCGAGTTAGAGGCGTTCTTTCGAACCTTGAAATTCTTTGTGTGCCCGAGCGCGCAAGAGAGATGGTGCTTCTGCTGCGATGGTGGCGATCGCGGTGGTGGGTGTCGATGACTCACCGCTCGCTTATGCGGCACGATGTGATTGTTAACCTGACTGCACGTCGATCGCCGTAAAGACGAATCAGCGAGTTATAAAACAACATTAATCGATGCTAATTTCTCTGTGCAGATCGCGCTTTTATGCGTTGGGGCAATGATCTCGTATACCGGCTAATTTCTCGCGCGTCGCTGATAACTCGGCGAGCGCTGATCCCCGCGCGAGTATCAACGGTACGATTTACCGACGAAAAATTTCTGCGCGATAGGTCTTATCGTTAATTCTCAATACACCTGAACGCCTTGGTGCGATATTCGCGCTATCGACAATATGTTCGTACGAGGTGTACCGTGTGTAAAACTCAAATTTATCAATGATTTTCAAGTACGATTAAAAACAAACCACAGCTGGGCAGCATTTTAGAAAGTGTACCGATTGCTGGCTAAGCTTCTAAGTTATAATTATTTTTCTGTAACGCTTTTACCGATGTATCGATTATACTCTGCTGCATCGGTCATTTTCTTAATTTGCCCTCGAATATAATTTACGCTCTTCGGGGCCGTAACTGGCTCGTAATACAGCTGTAACGCTTGCATCGCTAGCTTCGTTTTGAATTTTTACATGAGCCTTACATCAAGAAACATGCGTGTGCTGAAAATAAGAAAAAATATACTTTGTCTTTTGAGTATCTTGAAGCACTGAAAAATAAGCAAACTCAGTCAAGAGGTGTTTTCGTGATCGAATAATATTACTACTCCACTTAAGAACATCCGAATAATATAAATTACAACTATCCCCAGTCCTCAAATATTATTCTATACTGATATTATATTCTACCTTAATTTTGTTCTTGCTTAATTTTTTTTTCTTTGTATTAAAAAACAATTATTATCATATACATCCGTGCGCATCTCTTTCTTGCACAAGAGACACGTATACTTTTGCTTTCACTCGAATGGCCGAGATTTTACTCTCAATTAAGATTTCCCGATATGAAAATATACATTCGCACGCGCGTGGAGCTCATCCATCCATACTCTTGCCCATCAATTTTTTTATTTCTTCCTCCTTCCTTTTTTTCGTTTGGAAGCTTCATGATGGGTGGATATAAATTTTAACGCGTGGAACTTTTACTTTTTTTCGATAGATAAAAATAGGCGCATAGATGCAATGGAAGACGCCATGAATAGCAGATATCAATTTTGGATCTCGCTATATTTGTATCCATACGAACGATGTGTAATGATATTTTAGGATTACTCGTTGGGATAATTATGTACGCCGATCGGTCAAGTGCCTTGTGCACATGACTATGAAATGATCTCAATTCGTAGTATTGAGTTGGGCGTGGTGCATTCGAGACGACCCTGACGATCGCGACACACATTACGTAAACTCCATTGGACACACCTATACCCCGATACACGCCTACGAAGCTACAAATAGATACATCCAAGGCATTGCCATCTTCGATCGGATGAGTCACGGATTTTAAAGGTCTATCAAATTTCTGCAAATAGTCGTCGAAATCATCTATATAGTCAAACGTTGCTAATTGAAAAATTATTAGCTCCATTTAACATTAAAAATCATTGATGCTGATTTTTATTATCTGTTGCAAATGAAGGCCTAATATTAGATTGATTATCCAACAGTCAGAAGCGGAAAAAACTCCTTTATAATTTTATACTTTTATCATCGGCGTTCCACATGGCACTAATGAAGCAATCAACTCGGCTCCAAGCAGTGCCAAGATTTTTATGTACGGAAATGCACGACTTTCAAAGGTCCCAAGAGTCAATCAGTTACAGACGAGTTTTACAACTCGCATCGCGCTGGCAGGAAATACATTTTTCTGCTTCTCGAACACCACAGGGATATTTTCATCTATACCCGGCTAGAGCAAACTTTCGACAGGCCGCCGTTTAATCTTCGTTTTCGAACGATTTTCGACTGCCCGCGCATAATACACTCGAATAATGCCCCGCATACATATAACGAATACAGCGTCCCATGCAAATTTCAGGTGAAAGCGTGCAATTTGTCAGTAACGCTCGCACGTATACACGCGCACCGTACCTATGTCCTATATATATATACCCGCAAAGCATATAAAAATTAAATTTAATAATGTAAAAATGAAAGAATAGAATTTAATGAGGTGTTCCTTTTTTTTGTTCTTGCAGACGCAGTGGTGGCTTCCGCAACCCCGGGCAGAGCCGGTTACGAGGTACGGTATATACACATAATATAGCATCAACGATCAGTGCCGCTTAAGCACGTACTTGGAGGAGAAACATTGACTTCGAGATAGCTCGATAACTTTGGTGTTTATTACTCTTCGATTATATACGCCGCTTCGAGAATATTGAGACGTTGTCGGTAAATGAAATTCGCATTAACGAATTGGCGGTAACGCGTAATAGCCCACCAGAAAAAGCTCCGTTTATGGAATCGTTTTTTTTTTCAACGAAGAGGTTGATACCGAAGAAAAAATAATTTTCGTGAGTTAGAAAATTTACTTGAAATAATGAAATAATTCGGATAATATTTGCAATCCATGCTTGAGTAGCTTATCAAACACCGCGTTTATCGATACTGCTACGTGCAACAAGTAACAAGATAATGATATATATTACGCGGGAGTAATAGTGAAACAACATTTTTATCGAAAGTCATTCGTTGAATCGTAATGTACCGAGTGCCGACTCGATTATAAGAAATTTCATCGCATAACATAGTTGTTCTTTGGCTGAGCAATACAGCAATTTTTTCGTGTTTACTGCAGGACTCCGAAGCCGCCGCATCGGAGGTAGGAGCCGAGGAGGCCTACGACGACGGCGACGACTCGGACATGTACATGGAGCCGGACGGGGCCGAGAGCAGCCACGCCGAGCAGCAGCATCATCGAGCAGCCCTCGTCCAGGCCGGCGAGCCCCATCGCATGACCATAGTCGCGGTGCACCCGGTGCAAACGTCGATCCACGTGACCAGCAGCGAGTCCTCCGAGTCGAGCAAGACGAGCGTCAAGGAGCCCGAGGAGAAGAGCCTCGAGTCCGACAGCCAGAATCTGTTCCCGTCGTTCGCCGAGCTCTTCGGCAATCATCGCGGCATACCGTTCGGCGGTCCGGCGCCGGTGGCCGGCGGCGACCAGCATCATCAGCCGCAGCAGCAGCAGCGCTACCGGCCCAGTAGCCGATTCCTGGGCTACTTCCGCGACCGGCCCTACAGCGTGGCGGCCTCGTCGACGTCGGACGCCGAGGACCCGGCCGCCCTTCTGGGCTCGGGCAATTTCGGCGTGATCCGCGGCGGCACCTACTATCCCGAGGACAAGGAGGCCGACGAGTACAGCATCGACGAGTCGGCCTACAGCCCGTTCTATCACGGCGGCGGCGGTGGCGCCACTAGGGGCCGGGGCTACTACAAGAATCCCAAGCCGCAGCCGGTGCGCGGCGGCGACATATTCGCCAACTTCCGCGACTTCGCCGACATCACGGCCCCGCCCAAGTCCAGCTTCTCGCACCTGTCGGTCGTTTACGCGGCCAAGAACGGCACGACCACCGGCCGCGGCTCCGAGCAGCCGAGAAACATCATCGAGACCCTGAGGATGCTGGACGCCGAGGGCGAGGTCGAGGCCGACGCGACGACGGCCACGGCGACGACGACGACGACGACGACGACGACGGCCAGCAGTGCGCCCGCCAAGAAGCTCAGCAAGAACAAGAGCAAACTTCTCAAGTTCAAGAAGTACCAGGAGGAGAAGGCCCGAAAGACGCGCCCGAACCTCGAGCCGCTCCTAGCTCTAAGTTGAATGGATTTGAGAGAGAGTAATTGATTTCTGTGTGAATCTAACGTATTGTAAAGTAATCGTATAAACTCATGTAAGCTTTCGCTCTAATGTCAACCGTCATCTATTATTATTCGAAAAATCAGTTGCTACAAAGAGAATGCATTATAATGGAAAGTTTATAGATGTGAATTCGTACTGGTGTTTTGATGTGACTGAAATTTTTTCAAATAATGTTTGAGAAATGAAACGATAAAAGTGTGAAAAATCATTAGATAACTGAAACTTTTTAGAGAAAAAAATCAAGTTTTTTAACAAATTATACAAAACATTTATTGAAATGTAAATAATCCTGTGATTTATTTATAAATCACACGAGCCGATTCATTTCTCAAACTCGGACGTACATAACTAAATGATAATAATCGTTGCACGAAATCACTTCCATCACACGAGACACAAGTGAAAAAAAGCAATGAAAAATGAGACTTCTGCAACAAGTGTGATTCGTGTCCCCTCCCCTTCACCGTAAAAACGATCTGAAACTTTAGAGTTTTTTTTCTTCCACTTCTGCAGTAAACACGGGAACGTGAGTAAAAATAGATAAGGGAGCAGGGGTAGCGCAACGTTGACCGGCTTCATTTTGACCATTTTGTAGGGTTACATTTAAACACGTTTTGATATTTTTCTCTTTGAAATAATGCGAACACCGAAAAATCAGAATTTTTAGTTTTCGAAGTGTAGTAAGCATCTCAATACACAGACATTTAATTGATGTAACATAATAGCGAGCTTGTCATTACTTTGCAGCTAACAATTACATGGTGTATAATCTGCATCGACAATAAGTAGCCCGGTGGTCTCAAAATATTAGATGAGTTTTTCAAGCCAATTGATTTCGAAAAATGTTTGTGGATGGGTCTTGTACGAGAAAGAAATTTTAAACTGAACGTAATACAAAAAAAATTCTTACAATTTTTTGGGCTTAAACAGTAAAGATAAAATTATACATTCGTGTAGACCATGAAAAAATATAGATTTCCGTCCATACTTACAAATTATTTCCACATGATAAGTCTACTTTGTGTATGTCAAGTTCGTCAATAACGATCTAAAGCGAGTATAAAGAACTTCTTGAAACGGGAAATGAGTGTATTTTGATAAAAGTATTTAAAAAAGTGTGGAAAAAACAAAAACGAATGAAATGGTCTTGTTTCGTTATAAAACTCATAATACATCGTTGTTATGAGAAAAAAATGTACCAGAACAATATAGTTCAATCAGGAAAACCTAGTACATAAGTATTCAGTATTTCTTCCCTTCAATCGTTGCGAAACTGGCTCATATTATCTTTTAAATTTTAAAACAAACAAAAAAGCCTCAAGCATACATTATTGTTATCAAAAATTATTTTTTGTTAACTATTTTAAGCAATAGTTTTTTAAGATCAAATTCGTGTGGATGGGTTTTAAAAAATCGCGCACAACAAAGAATAGCGACATCTTTGATATCTTGTGGCAATGAACGATATTTTGAGAACACCGCCCGGTATTGAAAGGCGAAGGACGTCAACATTTGCTTGATGAGTTCCCGGACGCCCTCGCGCACTTTGTCGGGCGAGGCTTCCCTGTGTGTAACGCTGGGGATGCTCCAAACGTTGCACCTCGTATCGTGCGCGATGCTCTCAATGTCCTGGTCCTCGTAATAGGCGCCAAAATACGTAGCGATGGCTCTCGAGTTAAACCTAGCAGTCTTGCATTGGTTCTGGAATTTTGTAAAATCTTTTTTTTTCTTTTTACGAGATCGCTTCGAGTTGACATGAAAAACCATCGCATGTAATGATATCATATTAATATTTCCTAATCATAATTTATCATCATTATTTATAATTTATTATTAACTATGTGTGTACTTTATAAATTTTATGATTATGCTAAATGGTAATATTTTGTAAATAAAGTTGAAACATTTATAAAAATACTAGAAAAAAACACAACAACCCGAAAATGCTTGCCTTCTTCTCCTATGGCGATTCTCACTCCAGGCAAAGCGATCAGAACACCAGCTGTAGGTATGCAGCCGATCGTTTTTGTTTTGAATTTGAAATTTATCAACATATACTTGAAAACATGAGTGGATAAAATGTTGTCACATTTTTCGTTTCTAAAATGTGTCGTGGTCAACGTATCCAAATTTATCACGACAAGAAAAACAACAACTGTGTCCAATCTACTTCTGCACACTGGAAGAAGGCCAACTTTGCGATTATTTTGACGTGTTCTGCTAGTGGCATAGTAAGGTTTTTGCCGTAATGGGATGTTATCAGTTGCATCTACCTCACCTCTGGACATATACAAATTTTTATATTACTGCCAATGCAATCCCCGATCAATTTGATTATTTTTTTTTTTTTGTCGAATATGAATTATGCATTCAAGTTTACACTTTCACCTTCGTACTCTAGTGATAAATAATTGTATATTTACGATGAGCTTTCACACATCGGTATGTCTACGAGTGTTTGCTCGAATTCAAAAATATGTTTTCAGGAGCATTTTTTATCTTTCTCGAGAATTGTGATGAAGAAGTCAAGAAATTCAGGAAAATTTACTTTTTTTTATTTAATATTCCTACCTACCAACACCAATGGACTTCTATACACGATTCATCTCTCGCTTTTATCATCTCTCCTCATCCTGGACACTCTTCGGCTGCGGAATTGAAGACGGCGAAGTCATATCTCTTACTATGCATCTAGGTTATCTTGATTATGCGGCGCATTTTCATGTGCTGAACGACATCACGTATAACGTGTATGATCACTATTCTCGTGTCGAAATTCCAAATTCTCACCGCAACTGTATGAGCGAGGCTAACCGCCTCTTAATTAACAAACAAGTCTAGGATCTTTGTCACCTTCAACAATTGAGGGACCTCGAAAACTTTTGGAGGTCGAGAATTTCCGTACATAAAAATCTTGGAACTGATTGGAGCTGAGTGGATTGTCATGTCGATGTTGAGGAGAGTAATGTTATCAAGGAGTTTTTACCCCGACGTTGACTAGTTTGGATAATTAATCTCATACTTGGATAGTGTCCTCAATTGCAACAGGTAATGCAGTAAAAAATCAGCGTCAATGGTTATTGAAGCTTAATTGGCGGTCCTCAATCAGATGTATGATTGATGTAACGAAAAAAAAAAAATAATAAATTACAAACAAAATTATGCTTAAGCGTTGTGTTGGGCGACCAGTCGACTCGATCGTTTCGCTCGAGGTTGTGACCATAACTATTTATGTTCTGAAGAAGTGTTTACGAACCTTGTGCTGTAGCTTCATCGGCTAGCTTTTAAAGTTGTTAGGATAGAATAAATCATACTTGAAAATATTTTTTTTTTCAATTTTACGGTGTACGTGTAGCCTAAACCGAGCTGATAGCGAAATTGTAAAGTCGTTGCATTATTGGAGTTCGAGTAAAAGACGTTCGATCATCGAACATCGCTTTTACCTTTAAGTTGAATGAATATGAGAGAGTAATCGAATGAATCCAACGTATGGTAAAATAATCGTGTAAACCCATGTCCATGTAAGCTGTCACTCTAATTTCAAACATCGTCTTTTATCATTTTAAAAATCAGTTGCTATGAAGTGAGTGCAACCATTAAAAGTTTATAGATGTGACTTAGAACTAGTGTTTTGATGCAATTAAAATATTTAAAATAATGTTTGAGAAATGAAACGATGAAAGTATCTAAAACCATTAGATAACTGAAACTTTTTTGTGAAAAAAATCAAGTTTTTTAACAAATTATACAGAAAGTTCATTGAAATGTAAATAATGCTTTGATTTCTTTATAAATCACACGAGCCGATTCAATTCCCAAACTCGGACTTACGTAACTAAATGATAATAATCATTGAACGCAATCATTTCCAACAAACGAGATACAAAAGAAAAAAAGCACTGAAAGTCATTGCACAACTGGTTCTTATTTTAATTTGAATTTAGTAATAAACCAAAAAAACCTTGTGCATACATTATTGTTATCAAAAATTGTTTCTTGTTACCTAATACAAGCAATAGATTTTTAAGTTCAAATACATGTTGATGGGTTTCACAACATCGTATTGATTCACAACATAGCATGGATTGATGGATATTCTGTTAATCTCTTAAGGAAAATACAATCGTCGGACGTATATATCACATTTCAAAATTCATCTCTAGCCCAAGGGGGATATAGTCGTCTTGGATCAATAACCAGGGAAAGACTCTGAGGAATCGGAAACTGGGCTAGGAGTATATCTACTACCAACCACGCCGCGACGTGGACGTCTAGCGTAACGAGGGCTAGAAAACGAGATCCCACTATTTTCCAATTGATTCGAATCATCACTACTAACATTCGGGGATAGACGAAAGCGGGGATCGAAAGGACTAACAGGAGAGCGGGGATCGAAAGGACTAACACGAGAGCTAGAAGGCGAACTCCTCCTATTTTCCCCCCTATTTTCCAATTCATTAAAATTATCATCACTGTGAAAACTAGGAAACGATCTCACACTACTATTAGAACGATCATTATCAGCACGATTGGGTGAGACTAGCGGTTCATGATATTCTCTATCATGATATTCTACCGCTTCCTGAGACACTCTTGGCCACAGCTGTCCCGCCTGCTCTACCATATTATTGACGAGTGCAATGAAGGAAATGAACAAACTGGAAGGTCCGTCGCGGAGAATCGAGGTGCCAGGTATGCTAATAACATTGTACCGTCTATCGATCCAGATATTGTTCTTTATGGGTTCCGCTTGCAAATTATTAGCCACTTGCCACATGGGAAGATCATCACCAGTGATTGGACACTCCATAACTGTAAATGCGTTTTTTAATTATGAGCTTGCTTGAGAATGATATCGTATTAATTTACCTATAGTGATTCATCATCATTGCGTATAATTTATTGTTAACTATACGTGTTATTTATAAATTTTATGATTATGCTAAATGGTAATTTTTTTT